CTCTAAACTTTTGCATATTCTGGAACCTATGCCCTATAAGACCTCCCTTTTGACAACAAGGTCCACGTCATGAAGCCCTACTCCTGGCTTTAGGAGTCTGGGCTTAGTGTCTGGTAAAAGCCCTCAGGTCCAAGGGCTACAAGAGCAGCTGACAGTCCCAGGACACCACTATGTTAGAGGCCACAAGTGTGTGAGGCCCTATGTTAGAGGCCATTATGTTAGAGGCCACAAGTGTGTGGGCTGGATCTATAACAGCGGTTGTGCAGGCATAGGTTCCAGAATATGCAAAAGTTTAGAGTGAAGAGTGAGCTGAAGCAGGAACTGGCAAATATGAAGCTTGAAAGAAGCTTCTCAAACCGTACACCATTCAATTCTGCATTTGCAGGAATTCGGGGAAAGAAAATGGTCTGCTGAGAGCCTGGCTACCACCAGGCTCTAAGGGCTCAGACTGCTCAGTACCCTTGCTCAGCCCAGAGGCCAGATGCCCTCCAGATGCCTGTATTACCTCAGGGCTCAGTCCTCAATGCTCACTCTTGCCAGCTCCCTTACCATTTACAGGACTTCCGCTTCCTGTCCACAGCTGCTGTCCTCTGTCTTCTAGTCTGTCCTTCCTCTGAGCAACCTTAGGAAAAGTTAGAATCCTACCTCAGAAAATGCCCTTCTTTTTTTCAAAACAATTTATGGCCCCAGTGTTCTGTGAGTGAAAGTAAAACTCCTCCTGCAAAACCACACCTCATCTCTTTGTTGCCTTTACACTCACAACAGGCCCAGGTTTTCCTAATCCTCCCAGCTCAGCACCACCATGTCCTTACAAGGCGGCATTGCAGCCTTTCACCCTCTTTCCCCATCAACAATGTGTCACCCAGGAGCAACTCACTGCTCTGGATGTGGCTTCCTGGGCTGCAGTTAATGAGAGGCGACAGTTCCCAGGGCTGGAGGGTTAAATGGGATCAGGCTGAGAGAAAGCTGTAAGCAGAGAGGAGTCTGGGAGGCACGGAGGCCCTAATCCCGGCCGGATGTTCCTCAAAAAGTCTCAGAAACACCCTGCACAGCAAGGACGCTGCCTTCTAGACCTCCTCCTATTCTTCAGGAATGGGCTGAAACCTGTGAGTCCTTGAAGAAACTGAAGGGGTCAAAATGCCCTCCAGGAGGAGGAAGGCGGAAGTCCAACCCTAACTGGAAGCCCTGATAGAAAAAGTGCCTTTTAGCTCCGCCCACCTGGGCGCATTCCTTTCTGGGTAATGTAGTTTTCTCAAACCCAAAGGGAGGGCTAGCATCCCAGTCAATGACATTGGTGAATAAAGGTGATGTGGTTCAGCAAATGGCCCTGGGAAAGAGAAGCTGGGAACAGAGGCCTGGTTAACTGCAACAGAGGCCTGGTTAACTGCAACAGACTGGCAAAACTGTCAGGAGAGGGGTGAGCTGAGGACTGGGAGATCCGCCAAAGAATATATGCATTGGGGAAAATGGGAGACATCTGTAATACTATCAACAATAAAAAAAATACATTTTTTTTAAAAAAAATTAAAATAATATAGCCCAATTAGTTTCACTCAATGGCTGAGCATTGATCTATGATCCCTGAGGTCATGGTTCTATTCCTTGTTAGGGAACATTCATGGCTTGTAGTTGGGTGGTGGTGGGTATAAGAAGGAGGCATCTAATCAGTGATTCTTTTTTTATCTTTGATGCCATTATCTCTCCCTGTCCCTTCCTATCTCTAAAATAAATAAAAGTACATTTTAAGAAATATATATATATATATATATTCCATGTAAATAGACAATAATGTGGTGAGGGCCTAGAAATCTTTGGGGTCGGATAGAGGGAAGCAAAGTGGGATGAGGATGGGGGATATTGGGACTATTTCTAATAGAGTCTACAATAAAAAAGATAGTTTGCCCACATGGCATGGCTCAGTGGTTGGACATGGACCCATGAACTAAGGTATCTCTGGTTCAATTCCAGGACAGGGCACATGCTTAGGTTGGGGGTGGGTGGGGCTCCATCCCTGCAGGAGGCATGCGGGGACAACGGATCAATGATTCTCTCTCATCATTGATGTTTCTGCATCTTCTTTTCTAAAAATTCAATACTAAACAGAATAGTGTTAAGGTTGATTTGACTCAGCAACACCAAGGTAATTGAGGGCTATCACACTTTTACCCAAGTCCTCTATGCAAAAAGTCTGTGTTATTATATGTTTAGACTTAAAGAACACTGGTGGAGAATGTTAATGATTCAGATTAAACTTATAACTGTATGGTATGAGTGGCTACTAATTGTCCATTGGATAAAAGTTGAGAAAAACAATTTTCTTTCTAGATTTGAAAACCAATGGTTCCATATGGCAAAGAAGTCACTTGAGTCACTGAAGAAGGAGTGAAACTCAAACACGTGTCTTAGATGCTGCACTGTCCTTCTATTGGTAAGAATAATAAATTAACTTAAAAAGTAGGCAAAGGATCCTGAGCAGACATTTTAACAAAGGAGATAAAGACAGTGTAAATTATGCAAGAAGAAATGCTCACCATCAAGAATTCTTAGGGAAATGTTATTAAACAAAAACAAGTTTACAGTATAGTCATTGCCTGGCCTACTAATTAAAAGAAAATAACCATCACTTGTGCTGACGGGTAATGTAAAACCTGGAAATTTGATTACTGTGGGTGACTGGGAAAGCAAAGGGAATGAACATTTTAGATCACAGATCTGCATACCTTAAATATAACACATTCACTGACACTGCAACAGTTAGATAAACAAAACATACACCTGTAGGAAGAACTGAATGCAATATTTCCAGCAGTTTTATTTATAAAACCCCAAATTTGGAAATAACCGAAAGCATTGACAGATCAATGGATGAAGTGGTTATCCATAGAATATTATTAGCAATAAAAAATTAACTATTTACATAAACATTACTGTTGAGACTAAAAATACCTGTGTAGCAAGAAAGAAGTAATAGTTTGTTAAAAATTATACACG